AAAAATCCAAATATTACAGTTTTTATACCATTTTAAATATTTTTTTATTTTAATAAAATAAATAATAAAAATTTAAAATCGAATAAAATCTGTAATATTTGGATTTTTTGAATAAAATTTTAAATTTGTCGATAAATTATAGTAGATAATAAATTGCACCACTTTAATTTGAATTATCTCAAATAGGGGGGCCTGGAGGCAGGGTAGGCGACAGGAAAAACTAACTTTTTTTCGCAAACTTCAATTTAAATTCTGTTTGCGCCGAACTTGTTTATTTAATGTCAATATAAACTATTATAAATTTGGTGTGGGTCCCATGTCTAATAACTGAGATATTGGTATACTTAAAATCCACCAGCCGCCACTGATATATATATACATATTCATTTTATAGAAAAGTTTATAAACGAGTTGCATACTATACTTTTTCTACGGCAAATACTTGATTGATTTAAATTAAAAATTTTATAAAGCGATCTATAAAACAAATTAATAATAAAGGTTATAAATCGAAATGTATTTCTTGAAAATTGACAGTTTTTCACAGTGAAAGTAAAGAAAATGTTTTATGAGCACTTTACAGTGCTGGCGAAATTAAAAGGTCAGTACAATGTTCATATAAACTTTTCAAATATTGGCGTTGAGAAACTATTTAATACTTTTGTATTTTTGTATTGAGATAATAAAATAATTTTCACATTTAGTATTATTTTACAAGAAAGGCACTTTATTAATAAATTTTAACGATTGTATGACATTTGACAACTGTCAACTAACTTAAAACTAACTTCAGCCCGTGACTAAAAACCTGTTGCTAACTTCAGCCCGTGACTAAAGCGCCGTAAAGCCACAACTTGTCAATGTGTATTTAAAAGGTCACTTAGTGTCATGGAAACACAAGAAAAAATTAATTAAAGGTTTTGTTGAGTAAAAAATTAACTGGGAACATTAATTAGTCGTTAAATTAAATATTTATACACCCCAAGCTACATTATAGTACCTACAAGAAAAATAGAGTTCAGGTATTAACTGATAAAATCAGAATCACTTCTACATAAATTGCCAGTATCTTGGAAACTATGTAAGATAAGTTGATAAAATTTTAACATGTTATTTAGCTCGACTATCTTTATGTGCATTCCAAATTTTAGCTTTCTAGGTGCGGTAATTTTTTAGATAAAAATGGCGCCAAACTTTATACGAAAATAAGAATATCTCGAAATAAGTTGTTTTTTACATCATAATCAATATTTTTTATGCTTTGGTTTCGGGTAATTACTTTGAAGGAATTCACTTTTGCTTCTTACCCAATTATATTGATTAAAATCTCGTACGAGCGAAATAAAATAAGATAAGAATCATTGGCGATGACTTGTAACCTTATGACAAGGATTAGTGGAACGAAAAAATCATTTCTTTTGCGGTTAAAATCATTGAATAGTGTTTTTTAATCTCTAATAAATTATTTGCTTTAACCTACTTAAATGTCGCGGTTGTAGGTAATTTTCTATGTACATATCGATCCAACATAAAATTACATCTGTTGCTTAGTTTAATGTCAAGTTTTTTTTTTTATTTTATTTAAGTATGTGTTGTTCTTAATTCTTACCATAGAAACTGACACTATTCTACACGGTCAATGTTGGTAATAAATCTAATATGGAAAGTTGTAGAATTAACAGTTTTGTAGTCATTTATATCAATAAACAATTTAAAATCAATTAGCTACACTGAATTACCTAAAAACGTTTCAATTAAGGGGATTACAGGTTACAAAGATTTGCCGTCTGGTTTCCGACTAAAAAATTATTAAAGTTGCTAAGAATAGATGTGTTCGTTTATTATTGCTAAATTCGTGTACCCCATGGGTCTACAAAAAGGTTTGTAAAAATAAAGTCCTTTTTGAAAATTAATAGAATTATGGTTGAATTATTGATACACAGTAAAAAAAACTCTAAGCAACACTAATTAGTGTTGTTTTATAACACTACAATTAGAGTTAATTTGTAGTGTAATTTTCCCCAAGTAAGCAAGTAAGATTTAACACTATAGTACTGAGGATAAAGTAATTTTACACTGTATTAAAAAGTGTTAATTTAAAATCGTGTACTTCTACACTTCCTGGGTAAAATCCCACTTTTGTTCAGTGTAAATTAACACTACTTTGGAAAAGTTCCAATTTTAGAAAGGTACTTTTACTCTTTTAGTGCAAACTTCTAGTGTAAATTAACACTATTATTTGAGTAAAACCTATTTGTGGTAGTGAATAAAACGAAAAGGTAAATAAAGAGAAACATTTATTTTGAACAAAAATCTATGACAATTATCAAAAATTTTATATTTAAGTCGTATGGCTGGCTAAAGCAAAATGGTTCCTTAAAACGTAAAAGTTTTAGATCAATGCAATGTTTTACTGGCTGTCAACTTGTAAGCAATGAATTATCTTGAGAATTCATCAGTAATCCATTTTTCTGTTATAAAAAATTGGTGATCCCATTGGTAGAGAGGCGTCAGGCGGCTGTATGTCGGGGATTTACAACACGTGTAAAAATTTTCCATAATATTAATAAAAATGTAGGTAGGTATATGTTAATATAACAACCATTACGCTTGAAAATAAAAAGTAAATCAAGTGTGTATGTATTTATATTATTAATGTTACAAGTACCCGACCTACTGCCGTAAATTATTGATATATAATATAGGTCGGGTATGGACATCCTTTTAACATATTGGTATTTATTGAGTATTAAGGCTTAAAGAAAAAGGAAGTATAATAATTACCAAAAAATAAGAATGTCCTCTTATGGATTCACCGTAATTAAAATCTAACTGAACAAAAATGCCACACTTCCACAACGCGGTATCTCCGGATATGCACTGCGTAGGTAGATAGGTACCAACCAAACATTTTAAAACGCATTTCGGTTATTACCAATTTTTTCAGTCTATTTTGCCACTATTGGTGTAATTTAACTTTAATTGTGATACAATGTGCACTAGTAGTGTAAAGAAAAAAATTGGCATCCACTGTAGTGTACATTTTGTCACTATCAACTCTAATATTTTTACCCCTACACTAAAAAATTTACACGCGCAAATTTTTTTACTGTGTAGGATTTGTTATTAAATCTAGAAAATGTTTGTTGTAATTACAAACTACTTATTCAATTAGTTAACAGACTACAGTTGGTTGTAAACTTAAAATTGCCGCGTTTTTTAAACTATAGTTATAAAGTGCTTTATAACTACCTGTCGGATTTTTTTTTAATTTTTGTATTTCTAAAATAACCTCTACAGCGTAGTTGGTTTGCCATTTCCTGGGCACCCTGTATATAAATACCACTGGATCGTAAAAAAGTATATCTTCATACCATAAAATTCAAAGGTTAAAAATTTTAAATTCCAGACAACATCAAATAAAAAACCGACAACAAGCAATTGTTGAAACCTTTTAACCAGTGGCGGCTGGTGGATTTTGGCACACCCATATCTCAGTTATTAGACATGGGACCCACATCAAATTTATATGAGTTTATAATGACATTATATAGACAAGTTCTGCGAAAGCAGAATTTAAATTAAAGTTTGCGAAAAAAAGTTAGTTTTTAAGTGCAACCCCCAGCCTCCTGCCCCTCCAAATTAAGATAATTCAATTTAAAGTGGTACAATATTTAATTCACTGAAGTTTATTGACAAATTTCAAATTTTATTAAAATAATTCAAGTATTACAGATTTTATACCATTTCAAATTTTTTTAAATTTAGTAAAAGAAATAATAAAAATTATAAATGGTATAAAACCTGTAATTCTTGAATTTTTTTAATAAAATTTGAAATTTATCGATAAACTTCAGTGAATTAAATATTGGACCACTTTAATTTGAATTATCCTAATTTGGAGGGGCAGGAGGCTGGGGGTTGCACTTAAAAACTAACTTTTTTTCGCAAACTTTAATTTAAATTCTGCTTGCGCAGAACTTGTCTATATAATGTCATTATAAACTCATATAAATTTGATGTGGGTCCCATGTCTAATAACTGAGATATGGGTGTGCCCAAAATCCACCAGCCGCCACTGCTTTTAACTCATTTATGATTTAAAAAGTAAATAAAACGAATTGAGTAAATAGAAGGTACCTACATAATGGTACCCTAAGATCATACCCAAGACTAACAAACAGCAAACAAACCATTTATAGAGCAAACACTGTGCTGAAATTACAATACCCCACATAGCACAAACACATGACATGCATGTGCATAGCATAATCCATTTTGGATATTGGATGTTCCAGGAATATTCGGTTTTGGTACTTAAACATACTATGAATATCGTATGTATGTGCATTTGGCAGAGGTGCCTTAATACATAGCATATACTCAATGCATATTCTCGGTACATTCAGGTATATACTAGAATATTCCTGGGAGGTGCATATAACATCCATTTTATGTACTAATCAATGCATGTTCTTTTGGGTATTTAAAAGACATTCCTAGAATATTCTTGGCATGTTCATGTATATTCCAAGGATATACCTAAGGTAATATTATTTACACTTAAATTGTATGCCCTAATAATTTGCTGTACTTTCCCCAGTCTTGTTCATTTTAAAGCGTCACTTTACCTATCAAAATTATGCATTTCAAAATCGAATCTGGTGTGTTCTGAAGCCAGACAGTCATTTCAAATTTTGGAATGTATTATTTTGTAATAAGGTGGCGTTTAGGAAAGGAGCTTGACCGAGGCTGTAAAGCAAACAGGGCATGTTTAATTAGATCTTACCTCCATCTATTTTTATAGCAAATCTGAAGAAAATATATTGCAAAGCACACAGACCATGTGTAAATAATTCTTACCTTCATCCTCTTTTCCAGCAAAACTCAGAAAAATAGACAAAATAAAATAAAACCTTTATTTTTAACTAAAACACAATAATGTAATATACATTCCTTTAAAAAAATATATTTTTTGTTAGGTAATAATTACCTAATTATTAGGTTGTAGATTGTGTTTCTGACTTCTTTGTTCTAAAAAAAGATGTATAATGCAAATTAAAAATAACAAATCTGCCTTGACTTACATTGCTTTCTTTTTTCGATCTGGAGCCTTAACTAGCCATTTCTTAATACAAAATATAATTTCAGCCTCTGTTGAATTTTGAGTGTTCTTATTATATCTAACAGCATCTAAAATATAAATGTACTGTAATAATATAAGTTAAGCTATAATTTAACTTACCCATGATAACCCTTGCAATTTTGAGGTCTTTAAATTTTTGTTTTTGTTTAGCACCCTCCCAGCTATACTTCTCGCCAACTTCATTGGTGAACACCTTGTACATTATTCTCTTAACAATTTCCTTAACTTCTGACCCACCAGTCCTGGCAAGTTCAACAACCTAAAAATATTGTTAAGTTTGATAATGTGACACATTCAAAACAGGCGTATTACTTCCATTACTTTCATGGATGAAAGTAATAATTATTGTAATATACAAGCCTAATATTTTACTTATTTTATTTATTTAGCATGCATATGAGTACTTAAAACTAAATAAAGAATTTAAAAAAATATGGTTACTTCCAATAATAATTATTATAATAATTATATTATTGCCATGACTAAAATATCTTACCAGAAATTTCTTATTACCATCATCCTGAAGAAGCTTCTCTAGCTTTAAAAGATCATTTTCATTTTTTAAAGGAAAATTGCCAAGTATTTCAGAAACTTCTGTATTCATGTTAAAGTCATGTGTGTCCCCATTTAAAGATTTTTGTGATTCCAGATTTTCATATATGTCGTTAACTTTCATATTTATAATATTCAGTCTTCTATTGACGTTTATTCTGAATTCTAAAAATTATGCAAGCAGTGAACCTGTTATAAATATGAAAATATAAAACCCCCAAACCTGCATTTTCTGTTTTTATTTGATTAAGTAGCTCAATGATACTTTCGTCACTTCTTGTTAGAACAGCTGAATCCAGCAGTGGACTCCTGAAAAGGGTACTTAGTTTATATTCATAAAATAGATTATTGAATGGGAGCATAACTCACATGTTTGGACGGTGTTGACTTTTTGGGGTTGCTGAACTGGACGAATCCATAAGACTGTTAAAAAAACTCGTAATATGCATATTCAAATCAATCAACTAAGAATAAACTTACATATTCGGACAATTTTGACTTTTTGGGGCCGCTGTTTTAAAGGATTTCAGAAGTGAACTGCTAAAAAAGTTATGTAAAAATTTCAGATTATTATATACACTTGCTTGCAACAAAATCGCGTACACTTCAAAAATCAAATAACCTAGTTGTTACAAATATTGTGCTGTGTAAATGTGTATTTTTTTATATTTTGACTTTTTATTTCAAATAGGTTATAAACTAAGTGACATTTTCTTTATACCTGTTATTTTGACTTTTTATTTTAAACGAGGTTATAAACTAACAGCAACAAAATCGCGTACATTTTTAATATTAAGTAACCTAGTTGTCACAAATATGAATAAAAATTAAAAATATATATTGGTCTAACTTATTCTATGGCTCAAACTAGGCCTAATATTTTGTTATGGCTCCATTAGCTTCCAAGACATGATTGAGTCTTGTGGGCATAGAATTAATTAGTGTACGAAAATAGTTTTCGTTTTCTCTGAGCTCCTCCCAACCATCTTCAATAGCCATCCATAGTTCTTCTTCATTTCTTGGCCTAAAGTTTCGGTTATAATTTTTTTTCACTAGCAAACCCCAAACGTTTTCAATTGGGTTTAGATCTGGCCTATAAGAAGGCCACGGTAATAGTTCAATATTATTAGCTCCGAACTATTGTGTTATTATTCTTGCTGTATGGACAGGGCAGTTGTCCTGTTGGTAGATGAAGTTGTTGTTGGGGTATAATTGATCCACTGAAGGAAGCATAACATTTTCCAAAATATCCCTGTAAACCTGCCCATTGAGTCTACCAACCAAACGCCATGCTACACCAGGTCCATGCACGCTTATCCATGCCCAAACATTAACTGAGAAACGTCCGGACCTGTTCCGTGGAGACACGTAGTTTTCATGAAACCTGGAATTTGCAGGTCGATATACACGAATATGTCCGTCATTACTAGACTGAAAAACTTTTTCGTCAGTAAATACAACATTATTCCAAGAATCTAAGGCATAATTTAAGCAAAACAAGATCCGGGCTGGCTTTTGTTCTTCTGTTAGGATGCTCTTCTTGGCACTTGCCCAATTCTTGATATCCGAGTTTCCTATTCTCCGGCATGCTGTTGACCACGACGCTGGAAAGTTAGTTTCGAACACGGCATCTCTTGTGGTTTTAAATGGATTTTCCCTTAAATAGGCAATAAGCGCTTCATCCTGATCGACATTAGATTTTTTCGAGCGGCCCGAACCATCTTTTCTGCACACGCTTTCTTCCTCCATTCACCTTTTCTTTACCCTTATTATGGTACTTTTATTTACATCGTAATGGTTCGCAACTGCCCTGATGGACCATCCTTCTTCCAACTTCGAGAGGATTAAAATTTTCTGGCGTTCATTTAATTTTGCCATTGTGATAATATGACACTGACACTGACAAATAAATAAACATCAATTTGAAAAGTCAAAATTTAAAAAAAGACAAATTTACACAGCTCATTATTTGTGACAACTGAAGTGTACGCGATTTTGTTGCAAGCAAGTGTACCTATATAGATATATAAATAAATAAATAAAGTTTTTATTGCATATTGAGTACATAGAACAATAAAATACAAAATATACAAAAGGCCATCGACCAGGGTCCTTCAGCCTGTTACACCATACTTTAAGTGATATACAAAAAAAAGGTTAATTATTATTAGACAATTGTAGGATTATTTCCAATATTGTTTTTTTCGGGAATTTGGTGGCATTTTCTTCGACCCCTCTGGTGATGCATAGAAGAGAAGTTATGCATCACCATATATATAGATATTAATATAATATTATAATAACTTACATGTTATTAGTATGTCTGTGTATATTTGGTGACAAGGATCGAGATTTCATTCTCTTTAGAATGTTTTTTTTGCGCACTGGTTTTGTTCTGCAAAAAATTAAATTAAGTAATGTAATAATATTGTATAGAAATAAAATACCTTTCTTCTGTAAGTGCTCATTCATAATGGACGTAACCATAAGATGCCCGTAAGAAATACGTAAAACGTAAAGTTGAACATTAACAAAACCAGTGTGCCTGTTTATAATGAATAGCCGTAATTTTTACGTTTTACGTTCGAACATAAGATCTTATGGGTGACCGTAAAAAATACGTAAAGTTGAAATCATCTCAACTTTACGGGTTTCTTATGTGTGAATTTTAGTAACTTTCATGATTTCACTAGAACATTGTTGGTAGCAATCAGGGTAGTAGCCATGCAAACAGATGACAGATCTTTTTCAAGTGTATTCTGGTGTATCCACAGAACAAACAATCTAAAGAACCATTCATTATCCTAAAGTTTTAGTTTGAGTATTATTCGACGAAACTCGCCCTTTTTTTCTTCTCTTTGCCAACGTATATATCGCTCATTACACTAATAATTATAATAACACTGATAGTTTTAACTTAATTTATATTTATAATAATTATAATTATTATGCCTTAAAACTTTTAAGTTTTAAGACATAATAATTAGACGAAATCTGTCAATGTACAAATTATGGTGATATTATGTTTACGTTTACGTTTACGGGCATCTTATGGTTACGTCCATTATGAATGAGCACTAAGTGATAAAATTTCATTTTGAGATTTTTCAGGAAAAACTGAAATCATTGGTGTGGGCACTTTTGGGAAGGTTAAGCCACAATCCTCTGACAGTTCAGAATTGGTAGAGTTACTTACATAATCACTAATGTATGATTTTGCCTTCCTCTTTCTTTTGCCCCTTCCTGCTTCATCATCTTCTGTTGTAGTCAAATGATCTGATGTTTGAGCCTTCAGCTGTTTGCTCATTGCAATTTCATATGTAACTAAAACATGCATTAATTAAATAAATATATTAAAATGCATAAAACATACCATATTTGCCAAGAATTTCACCCGGGTATGGTAGCCAGTCCTCTTGAGGTGAAAATGTATGTTTAATACATTTCGTTATTGCCGCTGTTGATAGTGAAGAGGGGGGCCAAAAGAATTCATTGGTGCTTTCTACATGCCATGATGATGGGCAAACAGCCACATTGTTTTCATGGGTAAATAGAACAACGTACCACATTATGCGCTTTGAAGAAGAGGAAAGCAAACAAAATATTCTAGCCACGGCAATATTACTACTTTAGTTTTTATGCTGCTCAGATCCCATACCTTAATTATATCAGTTTTATTAACTTTGTGTACACAGATAAATGCAGAGTCACAGGGCCTTAAGAAAAATGAATGAACACTTTTGTAACATTCACCAACAATTCTGTGATGAGAATTATCAAAATTAGCAACACAGTTTTTAACTTGTACTATGTCTCCATCAAGTAATTGAACAAAGCTGTCTGCAAACAATTTAGTGCTAATTTTAAGACCTGAGAGTACGATCTTTTTGTATTGATGCCCTATTAAACCCTCCAATAAAGGACCATCATAGTGATCTTCAAAAAACTGAACTTTTTTAAGGTTTTTCTCTTTGTGTAACTTAAATACTGCTGTTTGTTCCGATAACCTATGAATTACTTGTTGAAGTGGCTGTGCACTTTTACGAACCATTTTTTTTATCTGCTGCATATAATTTTCAAAGGGAAAAGCACTGCAGTTTTCAAGTGTGCCATACTTAGAAACATCGTCACTTAAATGTAAGAGGGAATGAACATTTAGCGAAAGAAAACCCAACCCATAAATTTTCTTGGAATTAGCTACAAAATGACGCATTAGATCTGAAGCATATGATGTATAATGACTCTGATTACAGAATTCCGGGCATAGTAAAATTCTTGTTGCAACTGATAAGGTCATAAAATTATTATACATATTTGTTGGCAAAATACCTTTTAAAACAACGGGACCTGTATATAAAAGGAATAATCTGAATTCGGTAGCTTTGTATCTCCTAGCTTCAGAGATATTTCTTGTTTTTCGTCTGGAAAATTCACATGGTATGAATTTTCTAAGGGATTATAGTCTTAAATTTAGTAAAACGACCTTACGATATTGCAATTTAAAAGGTGGTTTGCCACAAATCCAACCATATTTGCTATGGCATAGCAATCGACGATTGCTATGCCGCCGATACGAGAGATTCTCGCCTCTCGTCTCGTCTCGTCTCGTCTCGACGAGACGAGAGGGCGATTTTCTCTCGAAAAAAGGCTCGAGACGAGACGAGAGAATGCCCTCTCTCGCTCGAGAATTTCTCGTTTCTCTCGATCTCTCTCGTTCTCTCGATTATTCCGGTAATAAGTAAACATTTTTTTACATAAAAATTATAATTTTGCATATTAATGACGATATTTATTTGGACCAATGAAAACATTATTCGCATTTTATAACACAAACAACCAAGAAAAAAATACTTATAAAATAATAATAATTTTTAAAATTTACCCTGTATAATAGGGTGGGCCGAAAAACGCAAAAAAAAAATATTTGAGATATTTATTTTTGGGTAGTAATAAAAAGTTACCTTATGTTAAAAGTAATTGATTAGAAAAAAATGTAGCGTACTAGCCCATTATTTAAGGGTCCCCCCGGGGCCCAAAATATTTTTTTTGTATGTTTTGACTGGGGTGAGAACAAAAAGTTACCTTATGTTAACAGTAATTCTAGAAAAAAAAATGAGCGTACTAGCCCAATATTTAAGGGTGCCCGGAGGCCCAAAATATTTTTTTTTTATATTTAAATTGGGGTAACCACAAAAGTTACCTTATGTTAACAGTAATTCTAGAAAAAAAATGAGCGTACTAGCCCAAAATTTAAGGGTGCCCCGGAGGCCCAAAATATATTTTTTTTTCATATTTTAATTGGGGTAACCACAAAAAGTAACCTCGTGTTAACAGTATGTTTAGAAAAAATAGCCATTCTAGCCCAATATTTAAGGGTGCCCTGGGGGCCCAAATTTTTTTATATATATTTTAATTGAGATGGCAACAAAAAGTTACCCCATGAATTATTGCATAGAAAAACCAAATGTCTGTATCAGTCTAATAGTTTTTTTTATTATTTTATTAAGATGCCTTTTGATAAAAACAATTAGCAACTCTTAGCTTGATTTTATTAAATTTAAAAAAGATTTTGCGTTACTCTAAATTAATTAACACAGCCACTAACGAAATAAATAAAGTCTTAAAAGAAGTAAATGCCCCATGTATTATTGCATAGAAAAACCAAATGTCTGTATCAGTCTAATAGTTTTTTTTATTATTTTATTAAGATGCCTTTTGATAAAAACAATTAGCAACTCTTAGCTTGATTTTATTAAATTTAAAAAAGATTTTGCGTTACTCTAAATTAATTAACACAGCCACTAACGAAATAAATAAAGTCTTAAAAGAAGTAAATGCTTGGCCAGTAAATCAAAGACTTAGTTAAATGCCAAAAAGAGTCTTGTAATAAATATTGGTACAGTATACATGATAAATAAATCAAAACAATATAAGTTTAATACCATACATATAAATAATATAGAAATGTTTTTATTATTATGAATTAATTGGATAGTTGCTCCTAGAGTGCCACCCGCTCCCTCCCACCCAGTTTTTTTATTATTTAAATAATATTGAGACTTGTTGTCATATAGGCCGGTAAAGATGTCCGCGCATCTATATAACCATTTCTTGCTACCTCACAGCAAATTTTCAATGCAGCTTCTGTTACAAGCTTCACACACGTTTCCACCGCTTGCGTTTGAAAGGGTAACTTGTCGAAGTTCTTTTATTTTAAAAAACTTTTCCAAATTTATAAACATTTTTAACCCTAAACCGCCAAATTTTTTACGTCAAATTCTAATATCGGACATTTTTTTTGTAAACATATTGTTAACATAAGGTAACTTTTTGTGGCTACCCCAATTAAAATATAAAAAAAAAATGTTGGGCCCCGGGGCACCCCTAAATATTGGGCTAGTACCCTAATTTTTTTTCTACAATTATTGTCAACATAATGTAACTTTTTTTTGCCACCCCAAACAAAATATAAAAAAATAATATTTTGGGCCCCCAGGGGGACCCTTAAAAATTGGGCTAGTACGCTAAATTGTTTTTTACAAACTACTTTTGGCATAAGGAAACTTTTTTTGGTACCCCTAAATTGAATTCAAAAAATAATTTTTTCGGCCCACCCTACTGTATAAGCACATCTATGGCACTCTCTATACTATTAAACCTGTATGCTTAATAAGCATTGCTTATTCAATAAACTTATCAACAACATGTGGTTTTTGAGGGGCTGATTACAAATTTTATATCCATTTCTTCAAAAAATAAAATGGCTGATCCAATATGACGAAAATTTATCGTTCGACTTTAATGGTTTGGGTAAAATTTAGTATTTAGATATTTATGGGGTCTCTGATTAAGAATTTGATATCCAAACAAAAAACAAAATTGCGGACTTACAAGTACAAGATGGTTGGATCTATGTGAAGTAGTTACATCATATAGGCGCAGTAGTTTTCAGATGGATGGAACTACTTCGCTTATATACTAGATGTAACTACTCCACATAGATCCAACCATTTGATTCAAATGCGCGACATTTTCGGCGTAAAAAGTCTTACCTTATCAGTGGTCTTGGCACACATTTTTTTTTATTTCCAGTTTAAATTTCTATAGAAAAAAATATAAACGAATTTGTATTTCATTCCAAATAATTTTTGTATTCATACATAGGTACTTTTACCACGAGAGAAACGAGACGAGACGAGAGAAAGGCACTCTCGAGCGAGAAAAGAGTATTCTCGACAAGACGAGAGACCCATTTTCTCTCGCTGTACGAGACGAGACGAGAGAAGCACTTTTCTCGTCTCGTCTCGTCTCGCGGCATCACTAGCAATCGTTTGCAAACCCCCAATAAAACCACATGCATATAATCAAGAGGCACGCCAGTAATCAAATTAAAATCAGGTAATTCCTCTATTAGTGAAACTCCAATATGATGCCCTTGCTGTGTTTTTTTTCGAAAATCAGCATCACTCCGCTTGATAAACTGAGTGCCATCATAACACACATGACCCTTAAAAATTGTTCCCTCGACACAACATTTGCTGCACGAAAAATATCCGCTGTGACCTTTAATTGTCATAATATAAGCCTTGGCAGGAGCATCACAAATTAGCATTTCAACTATAAGCTTTAATTCGTTAGATCCAATTTTTATACCATTTATATTTAAATTTTTACATTCCGTAATAAAATCAAAAATTAAATCATTAGCAGGTGGCTTTTGTGTGCCATGGAATATTGCCACTGGTATAACCTCCATGGCCAGTTGTTTAATGTTTGTAATTCTACACAATATGGGCCAAAATGAGTCCCCAGTACTTTTATTTAAAGGGACCCCATCAATGTTACCTGTAACTTTGACCAAATTTAGGTCAGAGACATCCAAGTTATACTTTTTAAATAAATGTTTAATAGAACTCTCAATGCCCATGTAGTAGTATTTCCCTACGCCTATGTCTTTTAACCCAACTATCTTACGAGGGGTAGACAATAGAGTTCGCGAATCCTTTGGTAAACCTGAGAAGTTTGCATTTGAATTTGTTTTTAATAGTGTCAAAAGTTTATTTAATGAAGAATGAGGAATGTTTTCTTTTAATGCCCAATCAGCTAATAGCAAAGAAAAGGACCTTTCATTAATATTTTCATCGATATTAGCAATTTTTTTGTCTTCTGTAGTTTGAATACAGAGGGTATCAAATAAATTTTCTTCATCAGAATTTGAACTAGAATCAGTAGTAGCACAAAGCTCATCGTCATCACTAATAGTTAATATGGACGGTAAATCAACGGAGATATGGTAATCATGATTGAAAGAACTCGTGCTGGGAATTTCACTATAATTAGTTAAACTCTCAAAAAAATTAACATCTGAAGCAATTTTCCGATATTTATTCCTAGTTAACCGATTACGAATTAATATTTTCCTGTCTCTGCACTTACTCATTGTACGCAAAGCAGTATAATTATTATCTGATATATGATTTACCTTATAAGGTATAAGGTAACTATAGTTATAGCCTAAAACAAATATATAAAGATGTAGTTGCTAGAAGCATCTTTCTACAAAAATAGG